AACAAATTCAGAGAGGTATTCCACTTTTAAATCGGGTAAAAATTTCAAAAGTTTGGGCTAAGCAGTGCTGGGATCTGGTCACTTTTCTGCAAACCCATTTTTTGCAAATTTTGACAGGTCGGGGGTCATAAAAAATGACGAAACATTGACAAAAATTCGAAAATAAACCAATGATGTAGCTAGATAGATATTTTAATAACAAATTCAGAGAGGCATTCCACTTTTAAATCGGGTAAAAATTTCAAAAGTTATGGGATAAGCAGTGCTGGGATCTGGTCACTTTTCTGCAAACCCATTTTTTGCAAATTTTGACAGGTCGGGGGTCATAAAAAATTACAAAATATTGACCAAAAATTCGAAAATAAACCAATAATGCAGCTAGATAGATATTTTAACAACAAATTCAGAGAGGTATTCCACTTTTAAATCGGGTAAAAATTTCAAAAGTTTGGGCTAAGCAGTGCTGGGATCTGGTCACTTTTCTGCAAACCCATTTTTTGCAAATTTTGACAGGTCGGGGGTCATAAAAAATTACAAAACATTGACCAAAAATTCGAAAATAAACCAATAATGCAGCTAGATAGATATTCAAATAACAAATTCAGAGAGGTATTCCACTTTTAAATCGGGTAAAAATTTCAAAAGTTATGGGCTAAGCAGTGCTGGGATCTGGTCACTTTTCTGCAAACCCATTTTTTGCAAATTTTGACAGGTCGGGGGTCATAAAAAATGACGAAACATTGACCAAAAATTCGAAAATAAACCAATGATGTAGCTAGATAGATATTTTAATAACAAATTCAGAGAGGCATTCCACTTTTAAATCGGGTAAAAATTTCAAAAGTTATGGGATGAGCAGTGCTGGGATCTGGTCGCTTTTCTGCAAACCCATTTTTTGCAAATTTTGACAGGTCGGGGGTCATAAAAAATTACAAAATATTGACCAAAAATTCGAAAATAAACCAATAATGCAGCTAGATAGATATTCGAATAACAAATTCAGAGAGGTATTCCACTTTTAAATCGGGTAAAAATTTCAAAAGTTTGGGCTAAGCAGTGCTGGGATCTGGTCACTTTTCTGCAAACCCATTTTTTGCAAATTTTGACAGGTCGGGGGTCATAAAAAACTACAAAATATTGACCAAAAATTCGAAAATAAAGCAATAATGCAGCTAGATAGATATTCGAATAACAAATTCAGAGATGTATTCCACTTTTAAATCGGGTAAAAATTTCAAAAGTTTGGGCTAAGCAGTGCTGGGATCTGGTCACTTTTCTGCAAACCCATTTTTTGCAAATTTTGACAGGTCGGGGGTCATAAAAAATGACGAAACATTGACCAAAAATTCGAAAATAAACCAATGATGTAGCTAGATAGATATTTTAATAACAAATTCAGAGGGGCATTCCACTTTTAAATCGGGTAAAAATTTCAAAAGTTATGGGCTAAGCAGTGCTGGGTTCTGGTCACTTTTCTGCAAACCCATTTTTTGCAAATTTTGACAGGTCGGGGGTCATAAAAAATTACAAAATATTGACCAAAAATTCGAAAATAAACCAATAATGCAGCTAGATAGATATTTTAACAACAAATTCAGAGAGGTATTCCACTTTTAAATCGGGTAAAAATTTCAAAAGTTATGGGATAAGCAGTGCTGGGATCTGGTCACTTTTCTGCAAACCCATTTTTTGCAAATTTTGACAGGTCGGGGGTCATAAAAAATGACGAAACATTGACCAAAAATTCGAAAATAAACCAATGATGTAGCTAGATAGATATTTTAATAACAAATTCAGAGAGGCATTCCACTTTTAAATCGGGTAAAAATTTCAAAAGTTATGGGATAAGCAGTGCTGGGATCTGGTCGCTTTTCTGCAAACCCATTTTTTGCAAATTTTGACAGGTCGGGGGTCATAAAAAATTACAAAATATTGACCAAAAATTCGAAAATAAACCAATAATGCAGCTAGATAGATATTCGAATAACAAATTCAGAGAGGTATTCCACTTTTAAATCGGGTAAAAATTTCAAAAGTTTGGGCTAAGCAGTGCTGGGATCTGGTCACTTTTCTGCAAACCCATTTTTTGCAAATTTTGACAGGTCGGGGGTCATAAAAAACTACAAAATATTGACCAAAAATTCGAAAATAAACCAATAATGCAGCTAGATAGATATTCGAATAACAAATTCAGAGAGGTATTCCACTTTTAAATCGGGTAAAAATTTCAAAAGTTTGGGCTAAGCAGTGCTGGGATCTGGTCACTTTTCTGCAAACCCATTTTTTGCAAATTTTGACAGGTCGGGGGTCATAAAAAATGACGAAACATTGACCAAAAATTCGAAAATAAACCAATGATGTAGCTAGATAGATATTTTAATAACAAATTCAGAGAGGCATTCCACTTTTAAATCGGGTAAAAATTTCAAAAGTTATGGGATAAGCAGTGCTGGGATCTGGTCACTTTTCTGCAAACCCATTTTTTTGCAAATTTTCACAGGTCGGGGGTCATAAAAAATTACAAAATATTGACCAAAAATTCGAAAATAAACCAATAATGCAGCTAGATAGATATTTTAACAACAAATTCAGAGAGGTATTCCACTTTTAAATCGGGTAAAAATTTCAAAAGTTTGGGCTAAGCAGTGCTGGGATCTTGTCACTTTTCTGCAAACCCATTTTTTGCAAATTTTGACAGGTCGGGGGTCATAAAAAATTACAAAATATTAACCAAAAATTCGAAAATAAACCAATAATGCAGCTAGATAAATATTTTAACAACAAATTCAGAGAGGTATTCCACTTTTAAATCGGGTAAAAATTTCAAAAGTTATGGGCTAAGCAGTGCTGGGATCTGGTCACTTTTCTGCAAACCCATTTTTTGCAAATTTTGACAGGTCGGGGGTCATAAAAAACTACAAAATATTGACCAAAAATTCGAAAATAAACCAATAATGCAGCTAGATAGATATTTTAACAACAAATTCAGAGAGGTATTCCACTTTTAAATCGGGTAAAAATTTCAAAAGTTTGGGCTAAGCAGTGCTGGGATCTGGTCACTTTTCTGAAAACCCATTTTTTGCAAATTTTGACAGGTCGGGGGTCATAAAAAATGACGAAACATTGACCAAAAATTCGAAAATAAACCAATAATGCAGCTAGATAGATATTTTAATAGCAAATTCAGAGAGGTATTCCACTTTTAAATCGGGTAAAAATTTCAAAAGGTTTGGGATAAGCAGTGCTGGGATCTGGTCACTTTTCTGCAAACCCATTTTTTGCAAATTTTGACAGGTCGGGGGTCATAAAAAACTACAAAATATTGACCAAAAATTCGAAAATAAACCAATAATGCAGCTAGATAGATATTTTAACAACAAATTCAGAGAGGTATTCCACTTTTAAATCGGGTAAAAATTTCAAAAGTTTGTAAGGATGCTAATCACGGGCCAGGATAAATACTCAGTCTATCCAGGGTCCCCTACAGAAATAATTTATATATACGGAGACAGACAGGACAAGGAGGCGGGTTTTCTAATTGGGCGTGGGTTTGAGGGGGGAAAGTTGGGTTAGTTTGGGTTGCGTGCCGTGGTTATGCCGTCGCCCGTCACCCGGGCGGCCGGCGGACCTGGGCAGGCCCAGGGCGACCGATCCCGTCACCCGTGGATCAGCTTATCCGGCCCCGTCAACCGGGTGCCGGAGCCCTGTTAGGGGGCGGAGGATTACGAGCCGTCGATCCCGTCACCCGTGGATCGACTTGCCAGCCCCGTCACCCGGGTGCTGGTGCTCAAGGAAAGGATGTAGTGAGCGACTGATCCCGTCATCCGTGGATCAGCGTGCCGGCCCCGTCAACCGTCGGCCGGTGCTCGTAGGTAGGGAGGAGGAGGGGTTTTTGAGCGGCCGATCCCGTCACCCGTGGATCGGTGCTCCTAAGTACAGGTTATGAGCGACTGCCCCCGTCACCCGGGGGTCAGCGTACCGGCCCCGTCAACCGTCGGCCGGTGCTCGTAGGTATGGGGAAAGGGGAAGGAGGACTTGGGAGAGAGAAGACTCTGGTTAATTGTGGTTTGCTTACAACTTTATTTATAATTTAGTGCCTGGGGTCCCTAGCTTTCCCTGCGCACGCGCTGGCCACCCCGTAGGGCTGGCCCGCGGCCGGCTCACCAGTCTTACTGAGAGGACTCCATGTCCACGTGTCCTTTATTCCTTGCTGTCATCCGTTCACGTCTGTTCACTTTGATCGCCGAAAACTCACTCCTCGACCGGCGAACAGCGAAGGCTGTTCGAAGCCCTCGCTGCTGCCGTCGACCGCGGCAGAGGCCCTTACGCTGCTTCCGTGCAGACTATAGGCGTCCTCTTTATTCTGCCGCCTCCGCACCCGCGTCTCTTTACGCGATCGTGCGTTCCTCTTCCCTTTCGCGTCTCTCCGGACCCGGCCGTCGGTTCTGCCGAGAGCGCAAGTTTGGAGAGACGGAATGTTGCTGGCGTGTTCGTGGATGTTGCTCACGTGGATGTTGCTGATGTGCATGTTGCTGATGTGCGTGTTGCTGAGGTGCGTGTTGCTGAGGTGCGTGTTGCTGATGTGCATGTTGCTGAGGCGTGTGTTGCCGATGTGCATGTTGCTGATGTGCGTGTTGCTGAGGTGCGTGTTGCTGATGCGTGTGTTGCTGACGTGGTTTTCGGCGTGGCCGGGGATGTGGCAGGTGTTTGAGGCGTACCACACCCCAACTCAAAAGTGATCGTCCCCTGAGGGGGGGAATGATGCCCTTCATGGGCCTTAATATAAAAGGGGTGCCCTCCATGGGTCTTTGGTCGTCCTTACCCTAAACCTTAAGATTCTACCTTATACCATACCTTATAAACTACGCCTAACTATTATATACATGAGGGGGAGGGGGGGCCCTTGTGAGGGTTACCTCACACCCCATCCCTTCCTCGGGGGTGCGGGAAGACCTTTACCCGGCCGCTGGTCGATATCTGTATGCGATAGCGGATGCCGGCTACCTCCTCCAGGTAGCGCACCTCCCGGCGTCTCTGCTGGCGCAGGTGTCCGTCAATACCGCGCAGGATGGCGATGGGTACCCACCCGTCCTCGGTAACCCATCCGTCGAGGGCGCGGACCTGGGCGTTTGGAGGCAGGGGGTCCACCGGGGAAGCTCCTCCTCCGAGTCGGCGTCCTCCTCGTCTTCCTCGGCGTCCTCTCCTAACTCCTCGTCAGTACTGGCCTCCTCCATGGGCCATGGGGCCGGTCGGCGGAGGATGCCCGGGCGGCCGACTGGTTCGCCCCCGGGATTGGCCAAGGGCTGGCGGCCACGCCAGCGCTGCTGGTCGGTGGCTGGCATCGGTCTCACCCGCCGCACGGGCCTGGGTGGCAGGACGGCAGCTACGGCTGCGGTGGCCGCGGTGCCGTCGGGTGGCGTCGGGGCGCGCGTCGTGACAGCGGCGTCCGGTTGGGCGGCCGCTTGGGTGGCGGCGTCTCGTAGAGCCGTGGCGGCCGGCGGGATGCCGGCGGCCGATCCGGTGGCTACGTCGGATTGGGCGGTGGCGGCCGGCGGAATGCCGGCGGCCGATCCGGCGGCTGCGTCGGGTTGGGCGGTGGCGGCCGGCGGGATGCCGGCGGCCGATCCGGCGGCTGCGTCGGGTTGGGCAGTGGCGGCCGGCGGGATGCCGGCGGCCTTCGCCGTGGGGATCGTGGCCATGATCGTTCGGACCGCGGCCCGGACTGCCTCCCGCTGCTGGGATGCGGCGGACGTGGTGGGTCCGTTTGGGGACGCAGCCAGCTTACCCAGCAGGAGCGCAAGTAAGTCATCCCCCGTGGGGGTGCTGGCTCCTGCCCGGACGGTTGCCGCGTCGGCGATGTCGTCGGCGGCGATGAACGTGGGCGTGGCCTGCTCCTTGGCGACTGCGTCGGTGGCACTGGGTGCGGGCCTGGGTGTGCCGGCGGCAGCGGCGCCGGTGGCCCGCACCGCGATGGTGGCAGCGGTGCTGACCCCGGCTGATGCTGGAGGATCGGGCTCCGGGTACGGGCCCGGCCCGAAAAGCTCCTCGTATGAGGGTGGCGGCGTTTCTTGATGGGGCGGTACCCACGGCACGGTTTCCTCCTCGTCGAGAAGGACGACGGTCTCCATTGCCGCGCCCCGTGGCTCGTCGTCGTCCGAGCTGAGAGTCACCACCTCAGCATCGGAGACCTCCTCATAAGTTGCGCCCAGCGGGCCCACGGGGGTCGGCGAGACGGGGACCGAGGGGACGGCTGGGTCCGGCTCCTCTTCTGCCTCAAAAATAGATGCCACCACGTCCTCGTAGGTTAGCCCTTCACACCAGGTGGGGCTGATCGCGGGCGACGGCGGGGCGTCGCTGTCGGCGGTGGTCGCTGGTGCGGTGGGTCCGGTGGCAGCGGGCGCGGCTGATGGCGGACGCGGTGGGCGCCCCGTGTCGGCGGCGACCGTGCCTGTCGGCGTCGGTGGCCGCGAGTCGTGCCTAGGACTGGTGGCGTTGCCTGCCAGGTGCAGCTCCTCTATTGCGGGCATCGTCGTGGCGGGAGCCGCGGTGTTTGGGTGCTCACCTGGGTCCGGATTAGCCGGGCGATCGTGGCGGTGGTGATGGTGGCGATGGCGGCGACGTTGTTCGTCCTCCGGATGGCGCGAATGGCGGCGCCGCGAATTTGTGTTCCTCTCTCTCGGCATTTTTTTAGCTTTTGCGTCTCACAATTTGAACGCGTGGGTCTGCAGAGCGAAGATCGCGCTATCTTTATCGATATCCGATAGCGCGATGCCCGTACGTATCGAGGTTGCTTTTCGGTCGATCTGGCAATTCCAATAACGAATACTTGGGATCTATGAAAGTAAACAAACGTATTAGTAGAGTCCACCCCCTTTTAGCCTGCTTGAGGGTGGCGCCTATCCTAAGCTCCTGCGCTCCTATAGCTCCTTAGGATCAGAGCCGATGCCAGAGTGGAGGCTTCTGGACTGATCGCGTGCGTCGTGGTCGTCGTGGTCGTCATGGACTGCAGTGATGCTGAGGCTATCCTCGTTCTGATGTTCGTCGTCGTCCGCGCTGCTTTGGTGATATGCTTTTAGGTTGTTTATGCTGGCCGTGCGGCGACGGCGGCTCCCGATATCTTGCAGCCGGACGATGTTTGGCGAGAGGAACTTGATCACTCGGAACGGGCCTTCATATTTCGCAGCCAGTTTGGCCGCGAAGCCCTCGGCGGCGTTTGATAGCACATGATGGCGGGCGAGAACGAGGGAGCCCAATGGTGGCTTCCACTCTCGTCGTCGTAAATTATAGTGCCGGCCTTGCTCAGCCGTGGCACGCTCGGCGTTGTCGCGGGCCACTTTAAATATGTTGTGCAGCTGCTCGCTCCTCTCCGCTGGGGGAATCAGGGCGGTTCCTCGTCCCGGGGTGACTTCGTCGTAAAGTGCGTTGGGTAGGCGTGGTTCCCGGCCTTGTACCAGAAAGGCGGGGCTGAATCCCGTTGTGTCCGACACGCTGCTGTTGACGGCCAGCGAGATTTCTGGCAGGAGTTGATCCCAGGTGTTCTGCGGCGCGTCGCCCAGGTATTGTGCGATCATGGTTTTCACGGTCCTGTTGGCCCTTTCCGTAGGATTTTGACGGGGCGTGTAGGGCGCAGTATGCTGCAGTTCCATTCCTAGTGATTTGCAAAATGTCCGGAAATCCCGGCTGGTGAACTGAGTTCCGTTGTCACAGACCAGAGTCTTCGGGACTCCGAACCGACTCAGGATCCGCTCTCTAAATGCTCGTTCGAGATATGGTACCGTGGCCCGTCGCAGTGGGACGAGTTCCACCCACTTGCTGAATGAGTCGAGGAACACCAATAGGACTGTGTTCCCTAGCTTAGAACGTGGGAGGGGTCCAACGAAGTCCGCACATAGTATGTGGAAAGGTTCGTCGACCTGGCGGGTGAACATTTTCCCGGCCGGTTTTTCTTGGCTTACCTTAAACTTCTGACAGCTTGTGCATCGTCGTACGTATTTGGCCACTTCTCGAAATAATCCAGGCCAGTAGTACTTCTGGGCGACTCGTGTGCTTGTCTTCCGCACGCCCAGGTGGCCTGCGGTGGGGTGGTCGTGGCATTCAGTCAGCACTCTTGCGCGGTCGTTAGTGCCCACGCATAGTTTCCAGGGGGTGTATTCCTCATCCTCCGGACGTAGCCCGATGCGTCTGTAAAGTTGCCCGTTCTCCTCTCGAAAGTCTGGATACTTGGCCGGCTCCTGTCGGATCCTGTGTAGCATTGTCGTGATCCACTTACAGTTGATGTCCTGAACTTGTGCCTGCTGCATGGTGGCCAGTGGCTGGCGCGATAGTGCGTCCGCGACCAGGTTCTGGGTTCCGCGTCGGTATGTCACGTCGTACTGGAACTGCTGCAACTCCAATGCCCACCGAGCGATCCTGCCCGTGGGGTTGTCGATGGAGTTCAACCACTTTAGCGAGTGGTGGTCGGTCAGCACCTCGAAACGGTATCCTTCGAGATAGCAGCGCATCTTACGGATGGCCCATACTATAGCGAGGCATTCCTTTTCCGTAACAGAATAGTTGCGCTCGGCGGTGTTTAGCCGGCGGCTAGCGTAGGCGATTACGCGCTCCTGTTGGTCGATAGTCTGGGTGAGTACGGCTCCCACGCCGTATTCGCTTGCGTCGGTTTGGAGTACAAATTTCTCCTCGAAATCTGGGCACGCCAGAATTGGTGCCTCCGTAAGCAGGTCCTTCAACTTCTGGAACGCCTGTTCCTGCTTCTCGGTCCATCTCCAGCTTTGATCCTTCTTGAGTAGCGAGGTCATTGGCTCGACCACGTCCGCGAAGTTTGGCACAAAGCGTCTGTACCAAGACGCTATGCCGAGGCATCGGCGAAGCTCCTTCAGGTTCGTGGGTGGGGTCAGTTCCCGGATGGCAGCGACCTTGTCGGGGTCGGTCTGTATCCCGGCCTCGCTGATTACATGGCCAAGATATTTTATGCTCCGCTGGAAAAACTGGCACTTGTCTCGGTTGAGACGGAGATTTGCCTCTCGAAGCCGTCGAAATACCTCGCGTAGATTCCGCACGTGCTCGGAGAGAGTGGCGCCGACGACGATGATGTCGTCCAAGTAGGCGAAAGCGTGTGGTTCCATGTCGGGGCCGATGACGGTGTCCAGCGCCCGTTGAAATGTGGCCGGCGCCGAGTGAAGCCCGAAAGGCATCACCTTCCAGTGAAATAGTCCGCGGCCCGGGACGGTGAATGCGGTGCATTCGCGGCTGTCCGGGGCGACTGGGATCTGCCAGTACCCGTTCTTCAGGTCCAACGTCGATATATAGCGGGCGTTTCGCAGCCGCTCCAAGATGTGGTGGATCCGCGGCAGCGGATAAGCGTCGGGGATCGAGTTCTCGTTTAACTGTCTGTAGTCGATGCACATCCTGGCCTCTCCATTCTTCTTTGCCGCGATGACTATCGGCGCACTATGGGGGCTCTTGAAGGCTCTATGCGTCCATCGCGGATAAGCTCGTCGATCTGTTGGTCGATGACGGCCCTCATCGCGGGATTCCGTGGATGATAGCGTTGCTTAATAGGGCGATCGTGGCGCATCACGATCTTGTGCTCGGCGATGTGGGAGACGTTGGCGATGCTGTTGAAGCGGGACAGTTCTCGTTCGAGAAACTCCCCGATCCAGGGCTCCGGGTAGTTGTCCTCGTGGCCTCTGGCTCTTGGTTCCTCCTCGATGTCGTATTCGGCGTCAGCGATACCGCAGGATGGAGGCGGCGGTTCCAAGTCGCTGAAGCGGACTCTCTTGGCCCCTTTGCGAAAGGGGTTTCGCTGAACCGCTACTGGATCAGGCGAAGGTAACGCTCCGGCCCAGCTTGGGACCGTGCGTACGTTGGGGTGCCTGGCGCTGCGTGGCGCGTCAGGGCGTTGCGGTGAGTGCCTCTGGGTGGCTGATGAGCCTGTCCGTGGGTGCGCCTGTGTGGCGGCTTGTGCCGACGTTCGTGGGGCGGCTTGTGTGTGCGCCTGTGGGTGCGCCTGCGTGTGCGCCGGGGTGTGGCCTGTGCGGCAGCCGATGAGTGCGCCCGTGGGGCGGCTTGTGTTTGCGCCTTGGTGGCGGCTTCGGTGTGCGCCCGTGTGGCGGCTTTGGAGTGCGCCCGTGTGGCGGCTTGGGGTTGCGCCCGTGTGGCGGCTTTGATGGGTGCTCGTGGAGCAGCCTGGGTGTGCGCCTGGATGGCGGCTTCGGGGTGCGCCTGTGTGGCGGCTTGTTTTGGCGCTCGTGGAGCGGCTTTGGAGTGCGCCTGGGTGGCGGCTTCGGGGTGCGCCTGTGTGGCGGCTTGTTTTTGCGCTCGTGGAGCGGCTTTGGAGTGCGCCTGGGTGGCGGCTTCGGGGTGCGCCTGTGTGGCGGCTTGTTTTTGCGCTCGTGGAGCGACTTGAACCTGCGCCTGTGTGGCGGCGTCGGTGTGCGCTCGTGGAGCGGCTTTGGAGTGCGCCTGGGTGGCGGCTTCGGGGTGCGCCTGTGTGGCGGCTTGTGCCGTCGTCCGTGGGGCGGCTTGTGTGTGCGCCTGTGTGTGCGCCTGTGGGTGCGCCGGGGTGTGTGCCTGTGCGGCAGCCGATGAGTGCGCCCGTGGGGCGGCTTGTGTTTGCGCCTTGGTGGCGGCTGAGGGGTGCGCCTGCGTTGCGACGGCTGATGCGTGTGCCCGTGGGGCGGCTGGTGTTTGCGCCTTGGTGGCGGCTTCGGTGTGCGCCCGTGTGGCGGCTTTGGAGTGCGCCCGTGTGGCGGCTTGGGGTTGCGCCCGTGTGGCGGCTTTGATGGGTGCTCGTGGAGCAGCCTGGGTGTGCGCCTGGATGGCGGCTTCGGGGTGCGCCTGTGTGGCGGCTTGTTTTTGCGCTCGTGGAGCGGCTGAGGGGTGCGCCTGGGTGGCGGCGTCGGTGTGCGCTCGCGGAGCGGCTTTGGAGTGCGCCTGGGTGGCGGCTTCGGGGTGCACCTGTGTGGCGGCTTGTTTTTGCTCCCGGTTGGTGTCGGCGAGCTGGTCCTCGTGGGTTGGTCAGGGATGGGTGGCTCGAGTTGGAGGGTCAAACCCCCACACTGTAGTGTGGCTCCTCCGTAACACAGGAAATCCATCCCGAGTAGAAGGTCGTCCAGCACATCCGCCATGATGAGAGCGGAGACGCTGACCCGAGCCTTTCCCAGCTGGATCGTGATTCGCAGGGCCTGCGTGAGCTCCCTGCCGGTTCCGTCTGCTAACTTCACCCGCGTTCGCACGGCACGATGGTTCTTCCCGTCGTGGAGTGCCCTTGCCAGGCGCTCGCTTATAAAGCTATGCGAGGCCCCCGTATCCAAGGTGGCGGTGAGTGGTCGTCCCTCGACCGTGACCTGTGCGCGGATACGGTTCCGATCCTGTTGGATGGCGTTGGTTACTGGGTGTGGGAGTTCGGTGGGTTCCTCGAGTGGCTCCCTGATACTCGAGGCCCTTGCCCGTTTCCCGGCGTCTGATTCCGGCAGCACTCGACAGTGCGTATGCCGTGGCGACCGCAGTCCCAGCAGAACATGGTCCTCTGGTTCCGGCATTCCGTGGCGTAGTGACCAGCCTGGCCGCAGTTTCGGCAGGTGGTGCTGGGGTCGGTTGACCTGGTGGGCGTGGCCCCTTGGTTGGAGTTTCCTCCGTTGCCTCGGCTGGCGGCGTCGTTGGTCGCGTTCCCAGGGCGTGG